ATATATTAGATTTAATTATTATAGTTGCTTTATGAAAATATTATATTCTCATACCTTGTAATGGCCACCAGCTACAAGGAGTATGTTTGTAGAGAAAATCATCAATTCCAATTCCAGTATAATATTTTCTGCTAAAAATTAATACAATCTAAAAAAATAAAATTTGAAAATAAAGTAATATATTTAGCGAAAACGAATCATAATACTGTTTTTATATATTTTCTCATACATAATAAAATATTACTCTATAATAGGTCCTTTATTAAGATGTTAAAACTGACGTAAAATGTAGCTGGTACGGTTGCACGAAGGGGAACATTTTGTAACTGCCATTGTCCGGCGCCATGTCCAGGTGAGGAGGTCACTGCTAGAGGGTCTCCAATGTGTCCGTTGAAAGATTGTAGGTATATCAATAATTCTCCGTTACTTCTAGGTTGAAGGTAATACCAGAAGGAAAAACAAGTTTCAGAACCTGATGACGTCAATAATGGTGAATACAACACAGCTTCGTCATAAGAGGAAAATATGTAGTGACCTGTAATAGAAAATAGTCACAATATCAGAGTCTAAGTATTTTAATATTTTATTAATATTTATTATTAAAACATTTTCATGTCCTTAATGTGATGACGTTTAATATTAAATAAATCAAATACATGAGAGGGGTGAACTAATTCTTAAATTGTTTAGCCACTTTGCACATATAATTTAACTAAAGTGATTGGTATTTTAAAATATTGACCTATTTTATGCATATAAGCTCAATAATATGGACCATTTCAAAAATTAGGACCCATTTTACACCTGAAATCTGAATAATGTGGACCCACATTTTAATATGTGGACCCAAACTGAATAATTGGAGCACTTCACACAAGATTGGGACCATTTACACCTAAAATATAATTAATGTGGACTCACATGTTAAAAAAGTGGACTAATTATTATTATAGTTGAGATCATTTGTGAATATACTTTTTATGGCAGTTTTTATGACTTTTATATCTGATGTTGCAATGTGATTGTAGCTTAATAACTTATTCCATTAAGATAATACATTATTTATATTATATTTTGATAATTATTATAATACTGTAGTATATTACTCTTATTAGGCTATATTGTATTATTAGGGATTATGTATATATTGTTTTATGTACCACTTAACTATTTTAATGTCCACCGCAATACATTTTTTATATTTAATATTTAAATAAGCACTGTAATGGTCTAACATTACAATTCGTGCTCTTCATGTTTTATTGTTAGTATTGCAGTTATATATCCTTATATTGATATTAATATTATAGGGCGCTACACTCATTATCAAGCAATTTAGGTCTTTTATAATAGAATAATGTGCATATATTAATAAATTCCATATTTGTCTTAATTGTAGTATTTGTATTATAAGGTTTTAGTTCCAATTATTATTATTATTATTTTACACCTAATATCTAACTAATGTGGACCCATCTCATGTATACATACTGAATAATATGGACCATTTGAAAAATTGCGACCAAATAGACCGTAAAAGCTACATAATGTGGATCCATTTTTTTACTTATTTTATGCATTATTATTATATTATAATTTATTATTTATTTTATTTTTGTCCCCTTTTTCATATATATATAAACTGAATAATGTGACCATTTTAAAAATTGACTCATTTTAGACCTACAATATAATGTGGACCCATCCAATGGTTAATTTTATTCTTTCCTTCTATTTTAATGGAATTAATAGTAGTATATGGAGTCAACTATCTCCTGATACATAATATATAGACTTCATAAGAAATTTCGATTCATTAATGAACCATGAGGAAACCATTTACCAAATTTTCAATTTTTGAACCAGGTTTTGCTGATCTCTTCTTATCTCTTTTAATTACTGCTTCAGGCAATTTTGTAACAAGATTAACAGTGAAGCTCATTAGTTGTGACATGAGGTTTGACATGAGGCAAACCGTATTCCGGTGAATTCACCGGTTAATCGCGCCGAGCACACAGCGTGTGGTCCACCGTTTGAGCAAATTTTAGCTCATGTCGAATACCGTGTAACGAAACTATTCCGGAAGTAATTTTGTACGGTCATTCAGAAACACCAATCCCATCAACCCATTCCTTGTTTACTTCTGCTTGCTTAAACGATACGCGGGAACGATTTGTATTGGAGTTTAATTCTCTGAATACTGTACTGTAATGGTAATTTTACAAATTGAACGTGTAGCTATGCTACTAGCCACTATTATGGCTACAATGATGCGATGTTATGTGGATGGATTTACTGTCCAATCCAACTTCATTTCGCCGTGAACATGAAGAAGAGCGCGATGACAGCGGGTACTTGCTGTGGACGAAACATTTTGGCAAAACAATTAAGGTTAATTTATCATCGTCTCCAAGGCAATCTCATAGGGCCCGTTCGAGCGAAAAAATATCCGTGCGATTTACCAGTTAATTCACCGGTACACACTTTCTAAAACCGGTTTAACGGCCCAGGCGTGGTTGCAGCTCTCCTTCGCCTCCTCACAAATGCACGACGAAGTCTAAATTTAGTAGCATATAGCTAGCTACGCGATTGATTTGTAGATTTACCATTATTCGGAGAAATAAACTTGAATAAACTAGCCTACGTACAGATTTTGAAGCAGCCATTATAAATTATTTAGCTACATTATCGTTCCACCGTGCCGCGCTGTGTGTACGTGGGCCGGTTATAGCAGCAGTAGCAAGTAAACAAAGAATGGGTTGTTGACCATGGGATAAGTTGAAATTTTCTTCCGGAGTAGTTTCTGTCTCTTATACACGTATTTACCGTGAGCTAAAACTTGCTCGAACGGTCGACCACCCGCTGAGTGCTCAGCGCGATTACCCGGTGAAATAAACGGAATATGGTTGGCGTTTTTTGCTCGAACGGGCCCATACACGGAATTCTACCCAGCAATTTGGTGGTCAAAATTGTCGCAGATAATCCAGATGGTAAGGTAATTAGGCGCGTGTCCGAACGGTTTTAGAAAGTGTGTACCAGTGAATTAACTGGAAAATCGCACAGATATTTTTTCGCTCGAACGGGCCCATAGAGAATTTTCTCTATGGTTGTGAATAGTTCATAAGAAGACTAGCACAATTAAATCAAAAACCATGCTGTAACTTCTAACATAAGTCATTGATTTTTAAAATTCAAAAGCATATCTATTATGATTTTTATCTGAAATTATAGCTATGGTAATAAAAATGCCAAATTTTTTTGAACAACAGGTTTTTAAAATTCTCCAGGATGGTTTTTAAATACTATACTGGTAATTTAATGAGAAACAGCAATGCAAGCTGTGATAATGACTCTTAATTAGAGGTAAATTCTTCTTTGATGTTTAATTGGATTATTGAGATAAGATTCTGGCAAAACCTGGTTCACCAACCCGCCTGAATGCCCTTTTAAAGGTTTGCTGGTAAATGGGATAGTAACAGCATGAGATTTTATGTAGGTAAATTCCATAATGCTTTCAACACTGACAGCATGCCCATGGATAAAAGTGCCTTTGTTTCAATATATGTATCGATTGGCCTAATTGAATTATATATACAAAGCATACATTTATGAGCCTATTTTAAGAGACGATATTGCAAAAAAAGCATTGTACTAACACATATGTTAGGTCACTAGTTACCAAACAGCTTTACCTCGATATTCAATGGCATACCGCTACTATTATGAATTCTCTCCTTGCGTTCTATCCTCAATGTGTGGACAATATAAATAAATATCAATATCAATTACAGCTTTAAAAAAGTAAATACTGTGCAGTTATAACGTTGACATACCACTTCCTAAATTCAAAGTGTGATCCTCATTCGGTAGATAACTGTAAGAATATGATCCAGCTCCCGCATGTCTCCATCTAGATTGTTCCATCGATGTAAACCCACAAAGATCAGAATTTGACTCAAAATCACAATCTAATTCTGATAAGATTGGCGACTGAGATGGAAGCGGTGCTGAAAATATAGATTAAACTTTACAGTAATTATAATGTGGAAAATAAAATGTAAAAGTACAGACATTTTGTAATCCAGAATATATATTTGATATTCAAAAAACCATTGTTATATTTCAGATACTGTGATAGGTTTAAAATATTATGGTGAAAATGTTTTGTTGTGTTGCAATTTTTGTTTTATTATTCATTTTTACAATTATTCTCAGGAGCGGATCCAGAGATGTCCAAAAGGAGGAGCCGAAAGAGGGGGGCCGAAAGTTGGGCCGTTCTAGAAAAAACTGCCCTAGGGGGTCCGGGAAATTTTTGTGTTCTTGACGCCCGAAAATAACATTTGAGGCGTTCTGGGCTATCATTTTTTTCCTTTTCTTTCTTTTTTTCTCTCTTTTTCCTTTTTTTACCTCCCAAAAAGGGGGGCCGGGGCTGGGCCACCCGCCCCCCCCCCACTTAAATCCCCTTAGTTTCTTTATTGTTGTCGTGGTTGTTTCCTATATTTCTCTTTTTTTGAAATTTTATTGTTTCGGTGTTTGCTCTGTCATTTTTTTTATATCTATATTTCTATTGGCTTTTTTATAGCAGTAGCTGGAAAAGCCATTGTTTTTGTTCCAATTTTTTCCTTCGTTTTTTATATCTTTTTAGCACTGGGTTTTTCCGTCCGGCACTTTGTTCACTTTCCATGGTTGGATCATTTCCAAATTTTGTCAATGATGATGATAATGATGATGATGATGATTATCATCATCATCATCAACAACAACAACATCTTCATCAGCAAGAATATGATGATGATGATAATAATAATGTTAAGGAGATAATTAACTTGAATGTAGGTAAGAATGGCCCCGGAAAAAATGGCCCCAGAAAAAATTACCCCGGAAAAAATTGGCCCCAGTAAAAATGGCCCCATATGACAGGTAGGTCAAAATGGCCCCAATGAAAAATTCGGTAATAGAAATGATATTTTTTTTTAATCTTAAAATATTTAAATACTGTATAAGCAAGAATTGAATCAAGAAATAAAAAATGGCCCTCAATTATAAAAATCAAGAAAAAAAAATTAATACTAAATAAATAAATAAATGCTGTAAAATACCCTGTACCAAAAATTTAATGAATAAATCAACATAAAGAATATGCATATGAGAACTAAAATAAATTAGTTTTTAGCTCCTACGAGTAGCTCTGGGAGTAGGTCTAATTATTTTTTAAAATTATTAATATTATTAGATATTATTACTATATTTGCGGTCAATTATTAATATTATTATTATTATTATTATTAATGGCTCTGATGGGAGGCTCTAAAACATTGATTCGG